ATAATTTATCTACTTATAATAATTTAACTACTTGGAAAGTTAAAGTACATACCAGGAAGGACCATGCCTAGAGAAATACAAACACAATTAAGAAACATGTTTTCAGCTCTCCATCAAGATAATCTTAAAGCAATAATGTCAAGGAGCAGATTCCTATTATGAAATTTCACACATACAACATACAAATATACTGTGCTCTTTGCTACGGTTAATTTAAAAAATTTAGACTATGTGACAGCAAAAACCTGGTGAAACCAGGTTTGTATTGAATATTATTCAACACAATCCAAAAGCATTATTTCAGATGATTATCTGTTTTAAAAATAATTTTAACGTATCTCAGGGGCCCCTCCAACTTCACAAGGAAGTTGTCTCTTGCAAATATGTGATGTCATAACTACTGCAAATAGTTCCAAACCAGGCTTTGGGAGAAGGTACAGATGCAAACTGCTCTAGAACATCTGAGAATCCTAGATGTTTAGAGGACATGAACATATGCTCAGTAGAACAAGCACAAATGCTCAGGCCAGGATAACCTGGATTTGAATCTAGACTTCAAGTAAGGCCCAGAGACTTGAAGTAGTTTCCCCAGGTTCACAGCTAACCACCGGCACACGAACACAGACAGTGTGGCTCCACAGCTCACTTCTTATCCACTCTGTATTCTATCTCTACTTAGGTAGAAGTGGGAAGCATATTATATCCCTGGTATCTATTTTTACTAATTGATTTCCATAGGAGTTGGGAAGCTTCTGGAGGGTGAGAGTCTCAAACCCTGACTATAGCCGGGGTTATACAGACATGTCCAGTGGACTCCGGTTGCAGGGGTAGGTGGTGAGGCCAGCAGAGAATTCCCACATGGCCAAAGGAGTCTTACAGAGAGTCCCAGAAACAGTCCCTAGAGGCTAGAAGTGGGTAATGGTTATGGACATAGCATGACATCTGGTCTCAATACCCCGCCCCCAACAGCACAGCCACACTGACAGCAACAGGAGAATAAAGGGATGTGTACAGATTGCAAGAGTTGTTTCACTCAACTTCAGAGTCCTCAACTGAAGTTACCACAGAGGAAGGGAACATTCTCCTGCCCACTTGAGAAAGGGGAACCCTGTACCCACACCCCTGTGGGTACAGGGACTTTAGAGGCTGGAGTGAATGAATGGATCCATGTGTCTTTCTGCACCTTTGTGGCTGCAGAGACACACAGATCCGCATGGCAAGTGGCGTGTGGCTATGGGCCTGGCTCGGGAGCACAGGAAACACCCCTTGGAAAGTCCCACAGACACTGTGGGTGAGCTTTAGAAGGAACTGGGATTTTTGTATGAGCGGGTGATGGAATGCTGGGATTCAAGTATTAACATGGGAAAGTGACCTCATTCATATCCCCAGATTGGTGGGCTTGTGGGGGATAGACACCTGGATCACACGGAAAGCGGGAGCAACAATAAGTAAGTGCTTCACCCACCTCCATGGTGGTGAGACCCAAATAAGATAAAGAATAGCAACATGTTTTGCAAATTGAAGAATACCATAAAACGAAATGGAAATAATGTGAGAGAGGGAGAGAGGTTTTGCTTAAATTAACCAGATGAATTATCTACATTAGCTGTTCATCTTTTCTGATCACAGACTCCTTTAAGAATCCATCAAAAGCTATGAACTCTTAATCCCGGAAAATGACCCTTCTCCCCTTCTTAAAACAGACTATTTTGCCTATGCTAGGATTTTTTTTTTTTTTGTCCCCATGCTCAGAAGTCCTAAACCCCAAGTTAAGAACCTTTGTTTCTATTAACATTGACCTCTGCAACCACAACCACCGCTCCGGTATTTTCCTGTAAGGAACAAATACTAGTCAAAGGGCACAGCACTGTGTCTGGAATAAGGTCCTCCCTTTCAATGTGGCCCACTTTTCTTTAGGCCACAGCTCTGGTTTGGATGCTCACGGTCAACCTCTTGTTCATGACATTTACTTGATGCAGACTGTGTTCAGCATGTGTCGAAATGAAGACATCAAGGTAAATGCCAGCCTTTCTTACACAAACAACCTGGCCTATTCACGTCTATTGAAAAGAACATCAGGAGAGCAGCTTGGTCTGGAAAGAGCACTGGGCCAGAAGTCAGGAGATTCTGGTCTCTGATATTGGGCCCCTCACTTACCAGTGGTATAAACTTGAGCAAAACACTTAACCTGAAGTCAGTTTCCTTATCTGTAAAGTGGGAAAAAACAGTTTTCTGTCTTCTAGGGGGCTTTCGTAAGGATCAAATAAAATACTGCCTGAGAAAATGCTTTGAAAACAGAGAAGTGCTATACAGATTCGCATTATTATTATTATTATTATTATTATTATTATTATTATTATTATTATTGCAAGCTATAAGTAAATCAAGTGGTTTTTGGAATCTAATCTTAGAAATGAAGGCCTCAGGTTGTGGGACTTTATCAGTCACAGCTGATGAAGAGGAATAAGGGGAGAAGGCCCATTGTAACCACTCTTTTCTGAGCTCTGATCTGGGCTTTATGCTTCATTCCCGAAGCAGAGACACAAGCCCAGAGCATGAACATCTTTCCCAAGGAAGAACGTCTGATTTGATTTTTCTTCCTACACGGTTTGGAGCCCTGCTCACTACTAGGAATCCAGTGGGACTCTGCCACCACCCTTCCCACTTATCAGCCATTGTCCCAAGGTCTTGAAACAGACAAGTTCCCTTGGATAGCCTCAGGCAGTTCTGGGAAGGAAATTATCATAGAAGGGTCCAGAAGCTTTCCGAATAACACATGCTTTCGACTTGCCAAGATCAGTTCTCTAAAAGCCATTCAGCTTGTGCCCAGAAAGCTGCCTTAATGCTCCCTTGGTAGAGGTGAGCGGATGAAGCTATCCTAGTGCACTTCACAGATAGGCATGACTATTCACACTTCAGCATCCACCAAGGACAGCAGCTGCTGCAAGAATAATGCTTCAGTCATGAGGACTCCATACTCTAATAAGCCAGTGCAATAACACGGCAACCTGGGTGAGAGGTGCTGCCTGCACGTCAGCAACATGGGCTGAGTTCATCCTGGCTGCCTCAGGGTGGCCCTGGCAGCTGGCAGCAGGGCTTCTGACTGTCCCCTGCTTTCTGAATAGCAGACCAACAAAGGGTGGGTGGAGGGGAAACAGACTAAACTCTCTCTTGGCTTTGTGTGCAAGAAAAACCTTCATTTTTCAGTTCCTTGGTTTTAAATAATCAATACTCCTTTGAGGATGACCAGAGAAGTCCTTAACATGGAAGCTTATACATAACACAATTGGACACACCTAAGCGATCTAAATATTTTCACAGTATGATTTACAAACCAAGGATTAACATTTCCTGTTCCCGTGAAGGCTCTGAGAAAGAGTTGTTTTTTTCTTTAATAATGAGTAAGAAACAAACAAATCAGTGAAAAACTATACCATCGAGCAGGGTGCCAAAGTGGATAATCTGCAAGTACTCCTTCTCGCGCATAAAACCTTTGAGGGGAGTGGCCCAGCCTTCACTCAGAACTTGAACCCACTGAAGATCCAGCTGCAAAACAGGAAAAGCAGGTGAACATTTCCACAAGCTCTGTTTTTCAGCCATCTGGCCCCAGGGCAGTTCTTTCTCATTGAGTTAACAGGAGAATGAAGGCAGAACCTTTTATGTTTTCAATGTTCCCATATGTTATGCTGACCCATAAACTTGGGGCCAGATAAGTTTGAGTCTAGAACTTCCCTACTGGGGAGTGGTGAAAAGTTGTCAAATTGAGATGATTTATTTGAACACTTTAGGCTGTATATATGTATCCTTATGGCATACAAGTGTGTTGAACATTCACTGTTCATTCTTTTTCCCACAAGAATTCTCATTTGGCTATATTTTTTTCACCAAATGTACTATTTACTTGACTGAACTGGGCAAACCATTGACTCTAAAAGTCCAGAGTTCTTAGCATGATATTGAAAACCCTTCAAGCTCTAGCCCTGGGACACACACGTGGTTTCAGGCCTATTCTGCCCCCACCCCATCTGAAAGTTCCTGTTCATCCTTTACAACCCATCTCCTGGAGCACGGCTCTGAAACCTTTCTAGGACTGAAAAAAAAAATTAATTATTAGATTATTTGAAGATGGGTTTTTCTTGTACCGCAAAGCCCATTTTGTTACTGGGACTATGATTCCATACTGTAATTATAATTATGTTTCTAATCTGCCTGAAGCATTGGAGCCTCCCAAATTTATTTCATAGAGTCAGGGGTCCTGTTTATAAATTTGTCATGACTTATTAGAGTATGGCGTCTTCATGAGCTGAAGTAGGTTCCTAATTTACTCTGCCTCTTATAAAAAAATGTCCAAGGTTTTAATGGATCATAAAATGATATCAATGAAAACATGGTCACCTTATATAGACCAACTAACACTGATTCATAAAAAGGCCACAGCACATGCAGAGCAGTTTGCTGGGGATGCCTTTTATATATTCCAGTAAAATAAAGGCAATTAAAGCGGTCTCCCTTTCCTCAGACTGGACTCTCTGATGAGGAAAAAGCAGGATTTGTAGAGTAGAAAAAGAATGAGGCATTCATGTCACTTTAATTCGAGGTTGCTTTTTGTTTTCTTTAAATTCTTCTTGATTGCCCAAGAAGCACTTGTATTCTGGACAAACTATTTTCTCAGCAGCTGCCAATGCATAATTACTGCCTATTGCCTGCACTATGGCATAACTAAAGGTATGAAGACAATTGTGTAAAATTGTCCTATGCAAATATAGAAGTTACCTTCCCGGCCTGCCTCTGTACATGGCAGTGATCAGCTGCCCTGTGATAACTCTTGGTGACAGATTTCCTTGGAGAAGGGGTAAAAAAAAAAAAGAAAATTGGCAGAACAAAGGGATTTTCTTTATGGACACTGCATTTCCCTTATTATTAAGAGTAATTGTAAATGGATTATAATGACTCACATTAAGCCTACTTCTTTGCCAGTCTACTTCTCCTTGGCCAGTCTGCGCTTTCTTACCTTGGTGATTGATAATGAAGGGAGAGCTTCTGCCTCGGCTCGGACTAGGTCCAGTTTGTTTTCTGGCACAAAGAGCTCGTGGATGCCTTTGATTATAGTATAAGGTACAATGTTCTGAAATGAAGCCGAATTGGTAACAGTTAAAAATGAAAACTATAAAAAGAATGCTCCCGTAAACAGATGATCTTTCATGATCTTATGAAATTAAATAATAATAATAATAATAAAGACAAAACCAGTCTACCCACCTGCTCTTGCAGAAGTTCCACTACCTGCTGGACACAGTCGCTTACGGAGGACAAGTTGGTTTTAAGCACAAGCTCAGGTGTTTCGGGTTTCTCATAATCAGCGTCAATGCCTGTAAATCCTGCAAGGCAGAAAGGAGAAAGTCACATTTGCACCAAAAGAGCCATCTTTTTCATCAATAAAGCATAACATACACATAGGTTGGAATCATGTGTTAAACTGAGAATTCAGATTATAACAGAAAAGGTCAAACAGCCATCTTTGACCTCTAGCTGTACCTGAGAAACTATACAGCTGTCTTTTCAGTATAGAAAGCTCTAAATTAACCACAAAATCTGGCTGGCTAAATCTAAGCTCCCTGTCACTGATTAGACTAGAAAAGGAAGGCAAGAGGATGAAAAACTCAAAAATAGTCCTACACACATACTAACATATACTTTCCCATTTTAGCTCCCTGAACTTCACTGCTTATGGCTGAGGTGATAGTTCTTGAAAAATATAAGCCCACATAAGCCCATGAACTACATATTGACTATATTACAATTGGATTAAAAAAATAGCATTTGCTGTATTTTGCCATTTTGGAAAACAGCTTTTGAAACTTCCCACAGGTTTCCGGGGACAGATAGGAAGGCTTGGTGGCATAGGGTGGCACTGAGCTGGTTCTCCTACCTTTGATCTCCCCAGCTCGGGCCCGTTTGTAGAGGCCTTTCACGTCTCTGCTTTCACAAATGTTTAGAGGCGCATCTACAAATATTTCAAAGAACGGCAGTCCAGCTGATTCATGGATTTTGCGGGCATTCTCACGATCCTGGAAAAAATTACACTTAGGAACCTAAGAAGAGGTTTCACAATGAAATTCTTCCTCAGAAAACATTGTGTGCTCCAGGATGCCACCGCCTGAGGATACCGCTGGGGTTTGTGCTCTGCAGAGGTGGCAGGAAAGATGTCCCTTCAGAGAAAGTCCAGAAATTTTGCTGTAATAAACACAGCTCTCTCAGGGACTTTCAGAGAAAAACCACAGCAAAGCTTCTCTGCTGAAGTTCAGGGCTGGCAAGATGGGAGCACTTCATCCATGGGGCGTGTTCAAAGCACGGAGTGTCTGACTTGTACAGCTCACTGAAATTTCAAGCAAGAAGAGTGACACCCCACCTCGGTGATTTCAACATTTAAACACATAACCTGATGCTTTGGCACTGAACTGCTGTTTTGTTTTGTTTTGTTTTAACAAGGAAAGCACTCTGACTTTTTTGGGAAATGAAATCTCAGAGCTTTAGAGTTTTACTTTTTCTTCTTGTACTTTTTCTTGTAGAACTTTTTCTTCCTTTCAGCTCAGACCAAGTGTGCCTTACCGTTGTGAAAATGGAAGGGGTTATGTCCACTGGGGCCCTGGGATCTGGAAATGAAGGGATGCTCTTTACATAACCAATATCATTAGAGGAAATGAGGGAGCAAGGGAGGAGGGGAGGAAAGACGCAGCAGGGGAAATTGAAAGTTTAACATTCCTTTGCACCCTCCCTTCCACCCGGCTCCTTTCCCCCACACAGTTTGAGAGAACCGGCGCTGTGTGTGGGAACTGTGCAGCGTGCCAAACCAGCTTACCTTTGCGAAGGGAGAAATGAAGCTGGTAATGCAGACCAGACCAGCGTCGGCAAACAACCTGGCCACCTCGGCGATCCTGCGGATATTTTCTTCCCTGTCTCCGGGAGAGAATCCAAGGTTCTTGTTAAGGCCATGACGGACATTGTCCCCATCTAGGGAGTAGCAGGGGATGGCGTGGGAGACGAGGTACTCTTCCAGAGCAAAACTTATTGTTGTTTTTCCAGCACCGGAGAGACCTGTTCAGAACAGGCAAGACAAGACAGGGCATTGTCCTTGATTGTTTCAGATGACAAAATGGAACTGAATCCTAAGTGTGATCTGATCCTAATTTTTATCTAATCTAAGTGTAATGAAGCCCTTATTACAGTCATTTTCTTGACCTCAAATCAAAACCCTTGAAATCTAGAAAAAGCATATAGTTTAGCACAAGTCAAGTACTTACATTTCTTTCAAATCTTGAAATAACTATATGTCCCTTATTAGGATTATAGCCTTTCAAAGCAAGGGAGATTCATAAATGGGGAGACCTTGTGGGTCTCCATAGGGTCCTTGGTGTGTCCTGTTTGCCTGCAGAGTGTTTTAAAGATTAGAAAGTTGCAGATACAAACCCAGATTTTGGCTTCTCTTGAAAATGAAAAAGAAAATCTGGTGACAGTGCTCGCACATCCCCCTGTGACAGCAATCAGCTATAGTGGATGGGACAGCCAGACCTTGGGAGGCTGGGTGGCCCACTCTCCTTTGGGGGTGCCACAAAACAACCATCTGACAACAGAGCCCCTATACTGTCCTTCTGTTTTCAAGCCTTTTCCAAAATGACTCTCAAAACATGAAGACAGAAAAGCATCCTGAGCTGGCTGTGGATGTACTTAGAGCTGCCACACACTCTTAGATGTCTGGAGTGTTTACTTGAGAACAGGGTTGCCATATGCCTTTTACCATGGTTTCAAAGCACAATGATTACAAACACACTTTATGATTTCTATATGAGGGAGAGCATATGGAGAAAGGGAAAGAAATGCAACCTGCCAAAATTACTTAAGAGCTCAAAATCTGAACTACCCTGGAAAAGTAGCACTCTAAAAACTCAGCTGTCCTGAAGATCTCTGAACCTGAAGAAGCCACTGTCAGTCAACACCCAGGAGTGGAGGAGGAAAAGTTAGGGGGAAAGAAAAGGAGGTCAAGAGGTTGCTACAAAAAGACAGCAGGCAAAAGAGAGGAAAAAGACGGAAAAATGAGAGAAGCAGGGATGAAGGACAGAGAAGAAAGGAGAGTTGGCAAGAACGGTGATATGTGAAAGGTAAGCAGATACTTCCCATATTTTAGTTGTATTTTAAAGTCATGCCCCTGGCCTTAACACAGGATCATTAGGAGAAATAACTACACGAGGAATGTGTTGACAATCTCTGTAAAACCACTAATGAAGATATTGTCTATTATGTAACTTTGTCTCTTATGTAACTCATTGGCAATTAGCATTTCTGTCTGGTTGTGGGGTAGGAGAAATGGGACTCCTTAATCTCTGGCATGTTCTCTCCCATCAGAAAATGAGAGCAATAATAGAAATTTTCTTTGATTTTGTTTCAGCTCTCAGGAAACTAAGAACTGAATCATTGCACCTGTATTAAAATAGATTGTTGGGGGTCATCCCAATTGGGACACCCTCTCATTTCGAGAGCTGTAACTTTCTGCTCTAATAAAACTATCCTCTGCTACAAACTTTAAAATAAATAAATAAAGATTGTTGGCATATTTATTTTAATACATTGGAGTAATACTCATATTTATCAAGAGATGTACCATGGACTAGGCACTGTGCCAAGTGCATATCGACTTTAGTTCTACCTACACTTCATGAGGCAGGTATTACATTTACTCCTTAGAGAGATTAATTGGCTTGTCCAATGTCACACAGTTAATGTACATGGAGCTGGGGCTCAAATCCAAGTGTCTGGATTAGAAGTATCTGGTTTCTTCTGGTCGGCCTGGTCAATATCTACCTCTGTAATATTAGACTAAAAATTGAAGTAGGAAAAAATTATTTTTTTATTTTTATTTATTTATTTATT